CGCCTATTAAGATATTCCACGTGGATATATATATTAAATCATGTGAATATATATTTGATCACTTATTATATTTTATTGTTAAGGTCCGAGAATAATACCGCTTGTAATAATATCGGGCCCAATAAATATCTATATAAATATATATAAATCCCAATGATGGATAGGGACGATTATTGTCTTCTGAGGGACTTTTCTTGATTTCCCCTTATCAGCAAAAGAAGGCACCGCCTCTGTTGGGTCTTCATCATCTCCATTATCATAATATTATAGAAAAATTACTTTCTCTCTTTTTTCATTCAGTACATGAAAAAATCACCAAACAAGATATAGATACATAATTTCTGACCATTCAATTTCTATTGTTTCGTTTAATTCACAACAAAATACACAAAAGTTCGTCGAGATACACAATTCTCCGAACACCCCATGTTGCTACAATTTCGTATAACAACAAGGGTCAAGTACGAAAATGTAGGCAACGTCTCCGGAAAGACTTGTTTTCGAAACGACACCATTATTTGATGTGGATAACATATATTTATCGTCTTATCGTGTTTTGAAGCAAAATGGTACACGTTTAAGAAAGTCGAGAAAAATATGGGTAAATAGGGGCCACTACAAGAAATTTCGCAAAAGACGACGAAAAAATTCGTCATGGAAGCCTTGTTTTTCGTCACAAAAGTACAATGATGACGAAATTTTTTCGTCACAGCGATCGTCACTGTAGCCGCGTCATATTAGGTATAGGTGACAAATTTCGAATTTGTGACCAAATGTTTAACTTTTAATGACGTTTATAAGTTTCGTCATGATATTTCGTCACTTTTCGTGACAATAATTTCGTCACGTTTATTATGGAAATTTTGTCATGTAAATGATTATTTCGTCATAAAAAAAACAAGTTTTAGATGACAAAAACTTAAATTTGTCATCGAAGTATTATTGTTTAGTGACGAATTTTAATTTTTTTATCGAATTTATAAAAACTCAGTGACGAATATATTTGTGGCATTTTCGTTAAAATAATCGTCATATTTCATAGAATTCGTCATGAAAGAGTTGTTTTATAATTACAAAATATTGATGGTCACAAAAATAAATTTTAAATATGACGATACCAAAAGTGTCACTAAAAAATATAAGTAGTGACGAAATATTCATCGTCTCAAAAAATATACAACAACGACGAATTCTTTTGTCGTAAATTATTATCTCTATGATTACAAAAAAAAAAAGATTATCATCAAAAGATTGAGATATAATGACAGCATAAGTTGTCATGAATAGGTAAATATTTAGCGACAAAATTTTTTGTCATTTTAACATTTCATATAGTGACAAATCCAAACAAATACACCACGATTACATGCTGTCAAAAAAATATTTTAAATGACAATTTAAAATTGTCACTATTACAAATATAATAATTGTCATTAATTGCAAATATTTAGTGATAAATTTATTTGTCATGAAATATATAAAACAGTGACAAAACTATCGTCACTCCAAACAATTGTCATGAAAAACAAAATATAGTGACAATTTATAAATAACATATGGTGATAATATGTTGCAAATGATAAATTAAAAAACGACAATAATAATAATTTTGCTAATTAAAAACTTCAATAAACGGACTAACAATCTCAAAATATTCCAAAAAAAAAAAAATAATAATAATAATAACAAAGCTAAAAATCTCAAATTATGTTCCCATTGGCAGCCATAAAAGCCATAAGTTTGTCTACTTTTGCATTCAAATCACTAACTTGGTCCTTAAGCTCAATCACTTTCGATTCTTTCTCACGCAGCTTTTCTTGTGTCTCTAGAAGCTCCTTCTGACCATTTGAGTCATATGCCTTGCGTCTACTTGGCGGCCTCGGACCATACCCATAACCTTTTATATATCCAGCTCCATGGCCAAGAACCTCAAGAAGTATATCTTGTGCACTCTTTTCAACGCCTTGTTCAGAATATTTTTCTCTCCTTGATATCATCAAGTCCTGACAAATACCAATAAAAACAATATAATCATATTATTATTCAATTCAACAATTAGAGATTGTGCATGCAACTTACCCAGTTTTCTTCTACCTCTTTTGTTGACCAACCACCTTTTTCCTTATAATGCGTACGCTTATAGAGCTCAATCATATCTAGTGGTCCTCCATTCATCTCCTTCTCAGACTATAAGAATTTTTAACCGTAAGCATAAAATAAGCATAAAGAGTTTAAATTCAAAAAGAAAAAAAAAACTATTGATCATAAATAAATTAATATATTCAACATAATCTTACTATTTCATGTCGAAGAACACTAAAAGGTGTTCGGCCTGAAACATGTGGAGCACGCAACATTTGTCGATTCGTCACATTAATCAAACTTTGGTGCTGTCAAATCATAAGTAATGTGGTTGGAGAAAACAAAAAATATGAAAACTACAAATTTAATATGCAAAATAGAAGAATAATGTTAATAATGCATTACCTTGAATTTAGGCGAGGCAAAAAGCTCACACATATCTTCCCAATTTTCTTGACTAGCACAAAAAGAGGGCTTGTTATTCTTAGCTTCTTCATGGGACGAATATTTCTTGTAATGTTTATGCAGTCTGTAACGTTTTTGGCGTGAACTAGCTTGGACTCTATCAATCACGCAACGTTTTACACCCGGATCATCTAAATTAATATCCATGTGGATCTACACAAATAAAAATGAGATTATTTAAGGTGATATAGATAATGTATTCATGCGACTTGAAAAGTGTTTCTAATTTTTACCTTTATATGATCAATACCAGGTTGAAGATCTTTTTCTTCATCAACATCTTTCCACCTTACTGGCACCGAAAGTACATCTCTGTTGACTACACCAATCTGACTAGAAAACTTTGAAGACTCGTCTCTACTTTTAGGTCTTCCGATCGATGGATCCACAGTTACCTTCATTTTTTTCCCACAAGCCTGGAATGCCTTCATAATACCTTTGCCCATGGTTTGTCCACGTCTTTTCTTAATGGTGGTATTGGAAGATGCATATTCACCACTCAATTATTTTAATTAGTCAAAAGCATCATACTCATAAAATGTAAGAAAACTTAAAAATATAATCGAATGTCCGATCTCTTAGCCACAAATAGGCAGAACAACAAAACTGATTGAACTAATAAATGATAAGCAATGTATAGTGTTAATGAATCATGCTCTGTTAGAATTTTTCAAATAAAGAAAAACACAAGAAAAAAAGATATATACAGAAAAGTTAATTTTTCTATCAAGATAATGAATGTAAAAAAAATGGTTGGAAGGCTTGGATAGGTAACATATTTTGATATCATGCACATAGACTTGGATAGGTCGATGAGGCTCGACTTCCTCAGAAACCTACATATTAGGGTTTAATTATTATTATTGGTTTTGAATGGGTTGATTAACAAGCAGATAGAACCCACAAGGCAACAATTTAAGGCACATAACCACAAACAAGGCAAACAACTCTCTTTAAACTACAACAAAATTTCAAGGCCTTATGAACTGAGCATAAATCTCTGAAATATACATATTTTCAGCATGGAAAACTCGACAATAAAGGTTTAGCAAGACGAAATAATAATCATGGCATAACACACATATTATGTCTCGGTTTTCTTAACACTTACACGACTAAAAAAAAATAACACCAAAAATAAAATGCCTCAAAAAACAACTTGTTTCTCATGCTTGCTCAACAAAAATCATGGGCAATATTAACTGAGATTAAAGTTCTATAATTTTTGCTCAATTCAACATATCCAATAATTCAGTAGAGCTCATTTTACATGAAAACACATGGTTCAAAAATTCTTCAACCTAAAAGCATGCACACACATATATAAGTGAACTTTCTTTTTCTCAATCAGCTACTTATATGCAAGGGCTTTATATCTGATATTAAAAGCACTAAAGATACTTCAATTTCAGCATGAAATAACCTCATAATGTTTAGCATAACAATCACGTAATCAGTTCGACTAACGAGCATGTAAAGCAAGTCTCAATTCTTCTTCTTTTTCCACAAACTCCTCTCACATGCTTAAAGGCCTTGAAAGTTGGAATTAAAGCTCTAAGAATACATTACATTCAGCAAGTTAAACATAGCACAAAGTACTCAACAAAGAGACAAACAACACAAAGAAATGCAATTCAATTTCTATCATCATTTTTTTTTTTTTCAAAAATAAACACAACTCACTTAGGGCCATTAAAGCTGAATTTATCTCTGAAAATGGAGCGAAATATAACACGATAAACATCCCAGAATTCACATGTCAAGCTCAGCAAATAAAGGCAGCATACGATTAAAAAAAAAACAAAGCAAAATCAACATAAATTCTAAAAGTGTCAGAACTACGAACAGAAAAACCACTCCTAATGCTACAGGCTTCTACAAGTACACGCAAAATCAACATAAATTCTAACACACCCACATCGATATTGTGAAGTAAAAGTCTTAATATCACACATTTAGAAAAAGCAATCAAGTTACCTAAACATGTAACTATACATATACACATCCACATCAATATTGTGATATCAATTCAAAAAGAAACATATTGTACTGCCTATCAATTCTTGAGCTAATACTTAAAAGAATAGTGAAATAAAAAGATCATAGGGAAGAAGAAATTGATATATAATATAAAAAAAACATAAGTCTAATCATAGTAAATGAAACAACACAACACAGTTCATGAAACAACACAACACACAGTTAATGAAACAACACAACAACACAATAAAATTTTAGAGTATTAGCTATGTACCAATTACATCTTCCTGTGATCGAGAATTTTGACTTCCCTGATGTGATGGAGGATCGAGAGTGCTTTCATTTTGCTGAGTACCTTCAGGAGTCATCTCGTTCTGTTGAGTTTGAGGGGATTGGATACTTGGAATAAAAGTACTCTCATTTTGCTGAGTTTGAGGAGATTGAACATTTGGCAGGTTGCCCTCAAACGTGGGATTTGCAGTTTCGGTTCCTATAGATGAACCATCGGTTAATGGCAATCCTTTGTTCACTTTGTCTGATCCCATATTAGTCTTCTCGAATTGTCGTTTATTACCCCTTGCTAAACTTCCTGTCTTCATCATGTGATCAATGAGACTCTGCCGAGAATTCGGTATGATTTTTGTTCTTGAATTCCGAACTAATCCAGGAGCCATTTGAAACCTTTTGTATCAGGAAAAATATAAAAATAAAAAATCCATCAGAATGAAAGTAATGCATAACTGATTGATTGATGTAAAATAGAAACAATTTGATGTAACGCATAACATAAAGAACCAAGATACTACGAGAGAGTCTTCTTCCAGAACAACCTGTTGTTGTATAATAGATAATGGCGGATTATCTTTGAGACTTTGATAATTGTTAGCCTAAACTTTTACTTATATGAGTGAAAGGGGGGAGAGATATTTGCTGAAGATACGGTCAAAATAATTTCAGTGTTTATCTACCATAAATATATAAGATTACCAAAATTAAACTAACTAGTGAGCGCCAAAGCAAAAAAATTTTGTCCGCCAATGTTTTAGTCATCCAAAGTTCACCATAATACCCTTTTCATATCTTAACACCTAAAAAACCAAAAAACAGGCCGATTGATATGCGAAAAAAATGAAAGCCCCGAACCTGTGGTGCCCGATGACCATGGGTGTGACGATGTCTCTGGCAAGCCTCTGCACCGGCGTGACCTATGAAGCCGCGAGATTGGAATGAAAGGAAAGTGTACATTGAAGCCACTTCTCCCAAAGAAAGAAGATTTCGTCCACAAACTCGATGCCAGGGCTTATTCCGTCGGCACAAGGCTTGATGTAATTAACCTCACTTACATGGACCGTCCACAATCCAATCACCGTTCGCCGCTGTCACTTCCATACCTGGCCCCACCTCTGGCGCGAGTTTGCCAAGTTCAACCAGTTGAGGGATATCTTATTTGGAATACCCGGTTTCGATCGGATTAAGGAGACGGACTTGATTGGGAACGGAAGGGAGCTCACTGACCGTTTAGATTTTGTGTTTTTTGTTTTAGGAAGGATTGGGGAAGATGAACGGGAGATGAAAAAATGAATTATGTGATATAGATTTGTGGACCGATTTTATTTTATTTTTGGTTGGGAGATGAAATTAGTTGACTTTTTTGGTTCTTAATGGCACACTAGCAATTTTAGGTTATTAATAAGGTTAAATAAGGTATGTGGAATAATATTTATTTAATAAAATTGATATATAAAAACTTTTTTTATATAAATACTTTGTCAATTTAAATCATTCAAGTACTTAAGCTTACAAATTAATAACACCTAATATATATCCATTATAGTTAAATATCTATTTTTTATTTATATTAAAAATACTAGTGCGTATGCACGGGTAAACAATATAACTTTCATAGCATGTAAATTGTATTATCACACGTGCATGATAAATCTTCTAATAGAATACATACTTCA